GAATTACTCAACAAATTTGTTTATAATTTCTGGGAAGTAGTTGAAATCTGTTAAGTACCAGTATAAGGGAATTACCATACTTGTCTGTCTGATTGTATTTAGGAGCAGGCCAGCATTAGAAAAAATAATTCCCAATGTGTTGGGTTTTAGGTGTTCAGTTTTAGACAACCTAGAGGAATACTATGTAAAAGATTGCAGGTTTGGGTTTTTTTTCTTCTGAAAACATATTTCAAATGTGTCAGATGAGCTACCTGAAGTCACTATACACATTTGATAATGCACAATTTATATCTTTTTTTTAATGACTGTAATAGTAAAATGTCAAATTATTTTTGCAAATACCTAAAAATCTGTCTGATTTATGAAACACCGCTAAAAGGTTTCATATGTGATCTCTGTTTTTGAGAAACAATCACTTTTTTGCTATTGTTAATTGTATTTGGTAAATTGGTTGGTTAGGTATTTGTTTACCATATTTTCTTAGAAAAACAAATTATCTTAATAGCTTAAAGTGTTATACTAGCCATTCTGTTGTTCTGCTATTTGTTGCCTGACCTTTTCCAAGATACAGTAGTACACAACCTTAAAAGGTTAAACCCTTCTTTGGACCAAATGAAATAAAAAGAACAGGAAGAGATAGACTGTAATTAAATCCTTGCTTTATTCTTTTGCCCTGGTTGTAAATAGTGTCAATAAAAGCAGAGCTGGAGACATCATAGAGGGTACTATTTGGAATAATTATTTACTAATTTTTCCTTTTTCTCTTTTTGTCTACAAAGTACCACTGTGCAAAAATTATATTGAAAAAGATTATGTTATTTAGTTCTGCCTCGCAATCTTTCTCATAGTGCTTCCACACCATGGTAAACATGAATACTCAGCAGAATTTAAACTGTTTTAAACTGAAGGATTTGTTCTGTCTTATCATAATAATGTGTGGTTATCTTAATTCTATTCTCATCAATCTGTTGCACTGCTGTCATGTGTCTGTCATGCTGTATTCAGATCATAGAAGTTTTGAATTACAAATTAAATTCCAGGATTTAAACAAGTGTGTGTTGACTCTCCAAGGTGTATTTTGCAGGATTGTAGATGAATGGAAAACTAGATATGTTATTTGGTTATGTGGCTGGGCTTGGAATGTTGTGGTTAATGGCTTGGACTCAGACTGTAAGACTTTCAGCTGTACAGCATTACAGAGGCCTATCTTGGGACCTGTCTTTTCTGTCGTATTTACCAATGACTCATGAAGAGGTGATGGCCCATGCTCTCATCAAGTTTGTAGATGACACCAAGTTGGGAGGGACCAGATGATAGGCTCAATGGTAGAGCTGCCGCTCAGGCAGCCGAAGGAACTGCCAACAGGAACCTTATGAAGTTCAACAAGGGCAAATACAAAGCCCTGCAACTGCAAAGGGACAGGACCAGGCACTGGTGGGTTGGGGAGCAGCTCTAGAGAAGGCCATGGGGCAGTGAGCTGGGTAGAAGCTGGCCATGGGCTCTGGCAACAAAGGCAGCCAACAATGTCCAGGGCTGTGTGGCTCAAGGGTAGGGGCCATTCCCCTCTACTCACCACTTGTTAGATTACAAATAGACCCTATATCCAGTTGTGGCCTCCCAGTACAAGAAACATATTAATAACCTGGAAGGACTTAAGTACAGGGCTGTCAAGATGCTCAGGAGCTGGAGCACTTGCCTTATGAAGAGAGATGCTGAGGATCAAGGGTTTGCTCAATTGGAGAATAAGTGACTTCAGGGGCAGCCAGCAAGCAGCTCCCAGATCTACGGGAGGGCAACAAGAAGAGGGAGCCAAGCTCTTCATGGTGGTGCTTGTTGGGAGAATGCAAGGCAACAGGAATATGCTGAAGAAAGAGAATCAGACTAGATGAAAAGAATAAATCTTTCACAGTGTGGACAGCCAGATGTTGGAGCAGGTTGTTCAGAGGGACTGTGCCGACTCTACCCTTGCAGGTTTTCAAGACCTGACTGGATAAAGGTCTGAGCAACCCTGGTCTGACTTCATATCTGACCCTACTTTGAGCAGAAGGGTTGAGCTGGAGACTTTCAGAGGTCCCTTCCAATCCACATATGCAAGAATCAGTGGAATTTTATCTGTATTTAGTAGTCTGTGATGTGAATTTTCACATATTGCAGGCATATTATGCTTTTTGATTTTTAAAGCAACCATTGGACATTGTCAGTGCATTTTATCTCATTGCACAAATTAAGTTTGGTATAGCATATTTACTATAATGATATACAGGATATTAACATAAGTAGGAAGTCCTAACTCCTTAAATTCACCTAATATGGAAATGGTGGCATGCTTTCACAGAACGTGGATTATTTAATCTGATTGATTCTTGTGGTTTGTAGCATGGTTTTCTGTAGACTGCCAAGGCAAATACCACATCTGAGTCCTTACTTCAAAGTGTTCAAAGATAAGGAACATTTTCTAAAAGATTTGAAGTCTGGGACTTAAGAACTGTGTCTGACAAGTTTATTCAGTGTACATAACACAACAGCCTATGACTGTGAACTGGGAATTCTATACTGAGGATAGAGGGCCTTTAGTGGCTTCCTAAATAAATGAACTTTTCTGAGAGTGAAGAGTTATTGCAAATTCTACTACCTTTGGCTCAGAGTACAAAGGGTGTACTCTAGCATTCCCTCTTTGATTAGATGGGACAGTAAATAACACTGTGTAGGTGGTTTAAAAAAACCCAATAAAACAACAAAAACCACTCAAACCTTCCGAAGAATCCAAACACTTTTCTCCCCAAGGTGAGCACGAGTGAATAAGAGAGCGTATGAATCATGGTAATTTTCTTATTGCACAATAGAAACATATTCAGATAGTTGAGTGACTAGTGAAAGATAAAACCCCGTGTAAAAATTATATTGAAAATATCTGTAGTGTTTTAATTATGTTTACATATTCACCTGTAGCCATAATATTTAATCTGCAAACATGCAGTCTGAAAAATATGTTAAGAGAAGCCATGTCAGTGTGTCAGGTACAAAGGTGAAATCCACTGTGGAATCACGAGATAAAATGGTAAAACTGTTCTAAATTTTTATTTTAATTCTATTTCTTCTTTCTGTTGCTCCTTTTCATCCTTTTTATTTTAGGCACACATTTTAAGGTAGTTTTTCAATTACTATTATTTACATCGGTTTTTAAAATAATATTTCTATATAATAAATAATGTAAATAGCAATATTGTGTTAATACAATTTATATAGAGTGAGGGAAATAGAACAAATCACAAGTGTTCTTTTTTTTCTTTCATGGTGGTGTGGAACAGTAGCACATAAACCTGCAACTGCCACAGAATTGCCATTGTTTTTATTTACTTGACTTGAAGAGAGCTGTCAAGGGAAGACACCGTTAAGAAATTAATTAAACATGGTATTGCACAACTCCAGCTGAAGCACTGAGCCTCATTCAGTGCTTTGGCCTAAAAAGGTGATTCATACCTATCCTTGGAACTACCTAAAGCAGGAAGAAAAGAATTAACTTGTTTTGAGGGTAGGAATACTTGAGAAGCAGTTGAGATAGCAAGAATGATTGTAATGTGAACAGTAATTTTCCCTAACAGTATTTTCAAGATAGTTTCAATCCTCCTAGGCTGTGATAGTAATATTTTAATCTGTAAAGTAACTTGTATGACCTTCATAATTATAAGATATTACTATAATTTTTGGTATATTTATCCTTGTTTTTAACCATTAGTGCAAAACCAGTATGTGCTTACTAAGAGCAGGTATTGTGAGCTAATATGCCGTGGCTGTACTTCTCTAATATTCAAATTTTAAAATTATATTTGTATTAGATACTAACAAAAATCAATGAAGACGACCAACTGACTGACCAGCCAGCTAACCAAAGTGAAAAGTCTCTTTGCCACTACAAAACCCAAAGTCAAGAAACAAATACTGTCTGTAGAATTTAATCTGCTATCAGTATTGCTCCTATAACTGCTCTTCCTTATTACCCACAGAGGCATATGAAGGATAGGATCATTCTCCACACTAGCATTGACCTCCTCAGGGACCAAATGTATTCTGCTATGTAAATGTTGCATCAGAAAATACGTCTTTTTTAAAAAAAGGGAGAGGAGGGAGAGGGTGGAGATAGAGGTGATCTGCTCAGTACAATTCTATTCCACCTGACAGACTGCAGAATTTACAGAGCAGAGATGGGAAATCAGGCTTTTATTAGGGACTGACTTGAAATATTGAAGATGTTCAGAGGTAACAGTGAATCAGCTTATGGAACCTGAAATTGTCTTCCATGTTGGTAGGATTTGCTTTACTCTCTTCTCTATTTTTGCTAGCATAGTCAGCAGACTTTTTTTTTCTTCCTGCAAAAGCAGACATCTCAGAAAAACGCTGACAGTATGAATGCTGAAAAGGGCATCTCTGTTCTGTAAGTTTACGTTGGAATCATGGAAGTGCAGTGGAACAGGAATGAAATACAAGAGCAGTTGCAAAGTGGTTTTTTTGGGGGGTTGTTTGTGTTGGGTTTCTTCTTGTGAAAATATGACTTTTCTGGGACTAAGTTTCCTATTACAAGAAAACAGGAGTGTGAGAAAAAAATTATTTGCACATACCCAGAGGGTTCAACCTCCTAATATACTGTTGTTGCAATGACATTGTATATCACCCATAGTCAGAGAAACAAAAAATGAGGATATGCATGGGTGAGGTCATGCTTCTAGTCAACTTTATTTTTATTGATTCTTTGGGTAAACAGAAATTCTTGTGTCATTTTGAGAAACAAGGCCACATGTGACAATTCTGTTGTACATAGCTAGTGTCCTTTAAGACCTTGAATTAAAAAAAAAAAATAAATGTGTCCTTTATTAGGTATTCTGAATAATAAATTGTTCTTGCACTGCATCGAGATTGTGAGACTGCAGAAATTGCATAGTGCATTGTTCTGGTTGTAGAGATATTCATTAAAATGTTCATCTGTGCTTGTGTTTTAATTACAGGTGCTGTTCTTATGTGGGTCGAAGGGGAAATGGTCCTCAGGCTATATCTATTGGCAAGAACTGTGATAAATTTGGTATAGTTGTCCATGAGTTGGGTCATGTGATAGGTTTTTGGCACGAACATACACGACCAGACCGTGATGACCATGTCACCATCATTAGAGAAAACATCCAGCCTGGTGAGATATTCTGAAATATAAAAAAAAAGGAAAAAAAAGCCTGTTTATTTTTGGTTTTGCCTTCATCTGTTCAACTCTCTTAAAACTGAACACAGAATAGCAGAAATTAACTTTGAAGGAAGCCATTGTTCGTAAAGTCCTTTAAAAGTCATGTTTTTGTGCATGAGAAAGGGTTTTTCTGTCATTTACTGAATGATAAATAGGAACATGCCAATAGTTTTTTAGCTGCCCATGAGGTTTAGACCTGGAAGGTAAACTGAGGACTTTGAATCTGACAAAGGTGTGCACTGTTCCCATGGCTTCCACATTACTCATTCCCTACAGAGTTTGCAATTTTAGCCAGTGGCCTTGGTCTTGTTGAGACAAAGCATCTGAGGAAGCTGAGAACTTTAAACTGTGACTGTTGTGCCCGCACTCGTGTTGTGTGGGCAAGATGGGAGGAGCTAGGTATGTTTCATTTGCAACGTTCATAAGTGTGCATGATCTTTGTGCAATACTGATTTTGACTTACAGCAATTCTCTGTTCAGGAAGGGGTGAAATCATTAATTGTTCCAAGATAGCTTAGAGCATTTGTCTGTTCCTATAGGAAGTGGTTTAAAACAAAATAGATTTGAGATTCAATAAAACTTTGCCACTTCAGCTAGGACTTGGAAGATGACTGGCAGCTGATATACACTCCCACAAGTCTCTGAAGTCCTGAAAGGGCACATGCATCCAAGCCTTCCTACTGTTCTCTCTGTCGTTGACCTGTGTAGGTGCCATAAGTGCTCTATGCTTTTTCTGTGATGAGGAAAGTCAGCTGGAGTGCCCTCCTCAGCTTCCTGCTCTCTCCTTTCAGTTGTCATTCTAGTTTCTGGCTGAAACCACTTCCTGTGGTGTGGCATGAGCTTGAGGATCACTAAATGGGATCAGGAAGTCATGACCCCCAAGACATGTGTGTTTTGTTATATTATGTAAATTATATTGGTTAATGATGTTAATGCCACTGCAGTTTTTTGCAAGACAGCAACGGGAATATGAATTGGAGTAAGGGTGCTTTGCATCTCTTAATGCACTGATTAGGACAAAGAATTTCTGGTCTGGAATCATGAACTAAGTATAATTCTTTTGTTCCTCTTCTGCTTTTGTTAAGTTGCAACAGCTGGTTCTTGAAAATGTGACTTTGTAGTATTTGTATTACATGAGAGCTCAGGGAGTAGCCTTTACTGAAGTGAAGTCTCTTCAGTATCCAGTGTAATAAGTCTACAGTGAGGAGGGTTCTTGCAGGGTCTTTGCTGTCAAAATGACTTCTTACTGGAATTAAGAACCAATCCAGCCAATTTTATGGGTTCTATGGAAAGCGCAACATGTGTGGGGCCTTTAGGTTGAGTGAATGAGAATGGTCTTCTAAATGGCAAATACAAGAATTTGATGTGTGTTTCAGAAGACATGTCTGCCCTCTTGGTTAATAAAATCACACAGTTCCAAATGGCTAATATTTATGAATGTCAGTGGGTGATTAAGTTAGGATCTTTGTTGTTTTTCTTTTCCTGTTCGGTTTTTATCTTCACAAAAAAGATATTAAAGAAACTCTAATTATCAATCATTCATAGGTCAGGAATACAACTTCTTGAAGATGGAGCCTGGAGAGGTGAATTCCCTTGGGGAACCATATGATTTTGACAGCATTATGCACTATGCCAGGAACACCTTCTCAAGGTTGGAGTCTCAGGTTATACCTTTTGACTTTTAATTCTATTCCTCTCTGTGAATGCTAAGAACTTTTTTTAACTATCCTAAAATCACTTAAAATGTCCCTTGTGAAATAGTATTCTTACAGCAGTCAGAGCACAGCTTGTTTATTTTAAGACAGAATAATTTAATTATATTTTTAAACCTGTTTTGTTTCTGTTCAGTTTCAAAGCAGCCTTTTGATCTTGCTTCAGTTCTTTAGATTTTAAAACAAGATAATCTGGAAACATCATTTCATGTAATACTCACTTTCTTTCTGTCTCCACAAAAATTTGAACTTAGAAAAGCCAAATAAGTGAAATGGTTAGGAATTATATGTGTAACACGATCTGTTTTCTTAAAGAAAAATGTCCTTTGATGCATAATGTCTGAGTAACTATGGATTATGCAGGTAGAATACGTTATGGTATTAGTATATCTACCACACAAGCCACAGCCTTTGCTAAGGACTGCAGTCAACCATTTATAACAGAGGTTGCAGCCTCTTCTCTATTGTTTATACAGATCGTTACCGTCATCAAAACCATATAGTAATGAGTTCTGCTGGTTTTGCTCTGGCCTGTTGCAGGCTGATCCATTCCCACCTCCATAGTAGCTCACTTGTGTCTCAGTCTGAAACTCTCCATGGTTGTGGGGAGCTGTACAGTCAGCTGTTCCCATAGGCTAGTGCTACTCTGGTGAATAAGTGAAGAAGGAGCCTTTCATCTGGTCTCCTGTTATATTTCATACCAAGTCACAGTTCAGCTAATTACTCTTTAAAAATATCAAAGTAATGTAAATTAAAAGAAACCTCAAAAAAACCCCAACAACAAATGATAATTTTGAAAGTTATGTTCTTAGCTTTTTTTTTTTTTTTTCTAATTCATGCATTTCGAGGCAAAAATACTAGACAGTCTGAGACTGAAATAAACTGCAGACTACCAGAAATCTCACCAGCCTTTGCAAATTTCTTAAGCATGTTCTCCTCAATGTAAATTATATCCTTAAAAAAACCCCCCACCAAAGTTACCAAAGAATGTATTCAGCATACACATGATTCACCCCTGGTAGAGCATGGGAATGAGCCACATGAGGTAGATATTAGTCACATTGCTTAATCCAGTTGCAGATACCATTACCTTAAGGAAGAGATTATAAGAACCTATATAAAATAGAGTAATTTAACAAGCTGGAACCCCCCTGAGTCCTAGGGCAATGACAACATCAAGATAATTTGATTTGTGGGCCCTGATCTCACCACTTTTGAAGCTGGTAAAAACTGATAGTGCCATGAGTAGGCATGTCTTGCTCCAAGGTAAAAGAGGTTGTTACTTCATACTGTTTTAAAACAACCAGCAAACGCTTGAGGTCATGTATTGATTTGCACTGATTTATCTTGAAAGCATGAGTTGAGCTCAGTGTGGCATACTGCCAGCTGTTTGTTGTTAGACTTTACTCACCTGGATAAGTAGTAGAAATCACAAAACATCATAAAGTTTTAGTCACACACAATGATGTTGTTCATGCTGTATTAAAGCTGTTACAGGTTGTTCCCCTATGAAAGTGCTAAGGCATTTAAGAGAGGATTGTGTTTCACATTTTTCAAAATATGAATAGTGTCAGTTTTAGGTTGTACTAAAAATGAGTGAAAAATATAATTTATAGATGCAGTGAATTTTTTGAAATAATAACGTGCCTTATTTCTAGAAACAGAATAATGCCATAAGTAGTTTATTTCACTGTTTACATTAGGGTAACATTCTGAATTTACTATTTTTTTGCAAAATTTCTAGTGATGCCACAGGAAAACTGACTGGATAAGGAGAGCAGTATGTATCTGCAATACTCAAAATGGTTTATTTACTGTAATTTTAAAACCAATCTGTATTTGTAAACAGTATTCCTAACTACAAAGATCCCTAATGTTTATTCATTTTCAGACCTACATTATGCCTGAAGATACCAGTTGTACTTTTCGATAAAAGTCTTGTGTATATATACACAAGAGAGTATAAAAGAATTGAACAAGAAAATACAGAAACATACTCATCTGTTAACTTCCATTTTATGGGGTTTGAGATATTTTCAAATTCTTTGACATGATAATAGAACTTAGTTTTGTACCTTACTCTTTTAAAATTTACTTGAGACTACCAAAATATTTTGGATGATTTTTAGAATTGGGGACATTTTGAAAAAAAAAATGCACATTTTGAACAAGTGCTTCTCTATTATATTTAGTCATTTAGGGTAAATGTTATTAAAACCAGGTATGGTAAGTTGATATACCTTAGTCTAAAGCAAGCAGAGGCTGGCAAGTAAGCATTTATGTTTCAAAATCAGCAGCAGCTAGTTAGATCTGTTATAGCACCTGATAGAAGAATGACTGACAAGTGTGCCTGACTTTACCTGCTCTTAGACATACAAGTCAGACTTTAAGACTTCCCTTAAAAACTTTGTTAGAAATAGGAACTTTGTTACTAAGAATTTTGTGGTAGGGTCCAATTTTTTTATTTTGTTATTTTTTTCAGTATAACAAGAGCTTAACAGCAGTGCCTTTTTTCTGTGTAGTCTTAATAGTAGTAAGAGATTTCCTTCCTGTTGTCTAACAGAAATACAAAAGCTGATACATTAATTGATGTACTGAAAGATTTAATAACTTTGCATAAAGTTTGCCAATCTGAACAATTTTTATGACATTTTCTGTATTTAAAGTTCTGCATTTTACCAAACTCTTATTTATGCCAAATGTAAATTCTAGATTTACAAAATAGCATTATACAATCATAAAACTCAGACAGTTTTATCACAGAAACCTGATAGGGGGTTTTGGGGTCTATTTTTATTTTTATTTTTTTTAGGGGCATGTTTCTGGATACCATTCTCCCTTCCCGTGATGATAATGGTATACGACCTGCCATTGGCCAGCGTACTCGTCTAAGTAAAGGAGATATTGCACAGGCAAGAAAGCTGTATAGATGTCCAGGTATTGCACCACAAACAAACAAAACCCACATACTAGCAACTGTTTGACTTGTTGTTCAAGAGGAATGATAGATTTTTTGAGTCAGCTGCTCAGTAGTCTGTTTCCATGTTGGCAACTGACGTAGGCAGTTCAAGAATTGAATCATAAAAAAATCTTATAGATAAGGTCTCTGGAACGCAAAGCACTTAAGGACAGATAAACTGTATGAAGCAACACTTAGTTCCGTGACATGTCAGTCTTTGTTTTCCTTAGCTGTTCAATGAGTAGGAAAAAAAAAAGTTTAATATAATTTCTGGTTTGCATATTGACTGGAGTCCTTTTTAATTTGAATTCAAGTACAATGCAGAAGGAACAAATTAAATTATTGCAATCAGCTCTTAACACATCATAATTTTTGAAACTTTGACAAATAACAAGCCAGGACAACTAAGTTATAAAGTCTTTTATGGATGAATTGGTTAGATCTTACTATAAAATTTCTACAGCTTTAACAGATACATTTGATATTTGAATATCTTCTGCCTAATTCTAGCATCCTATAATTTCAATGGTTATTAATGTTTTATCTCAAAATAGTGTTGGGGTAGAGTTGCTGTCTGTCTCAGAGACATCAGTGGCAAGTCTGGAGTAGCCCAGTGTCAACCCTGTGGTTCTTGTTCTTTAGTTCTAGTTCTTCACTAAGTGTTGGCAGTAAAGAGCGGTAGAAATCTCAAAGCAAAAGGTTTTACTTTCCTTACTCTATTTATGGCTGATACCAGTTTTAACCTTTGGTGTCAACCAAAGCAGTTCAGAAGCATCATCTCAGCCAGAATTTGCCAGCAAAGTCCTTGTGGAAGGCCAGACATAGCAGCTCTGTGCCACATAGGTTTTATTCTTCATGAGAATTAAGTATCAGTAACTGTTTTAAGTCAGATAAAGGGCTATTTTTTACCACCTGATCAGTATAGGACTAAAATGAGGGATCAGGACTGAAGTGATGGAGCTGCTTCAAATTTGTATCAGCAGCAGTGGGACCTACTGAAGATCTGGGGCATCTTATGTGCATTTGATGTACACTGTACAGCTGAAACATACTTTTTCTTTGTGCTGTAAGTACAGTGAATCATAATCTTTTTTATACCAAGAACATTCACAGTGCATAGAGGAGAAACTATAACAAATTTTCTTTAACAACTGTTCCTTTTGAAATAATTTTTCCTCTTTCCTTTTGGTAGAGAAAGTACTTGAATAATGACATTCTTCTTGGCAGCTTTATTTCTAAGAGTATACAGAGAGCAACAATTTCATAAATACAGAGAATACATATATATTTTTGATAAAAAAATTTGGAGACAAAAATAGCCTATAGAACTAAAACTACTGTGAAAATATCACATTGGGTTAAGAAGGAAAAAAAGTATATAAATTATAGCCAAGGCTGTTTAGTTTGTGTATAATTCTCTAACATGTACTTTCAGTCAACTGAAACAGATACAATGTGCTTTTTGAGCTAATGTTCAGATAGTTATTCAGAGAAAATGTCCTTTTCATTTAATTCATGAAAAAGTATAAGGATGAGTTATCATTTCTTTCAATGTCTTGAAAGTCTTGTTGAAATTTAGTTTTAAAGTATCTTAAAACCACTGATGTTCAGCAGTAGTGTGCACTTTAAGCTATTTTTTTCAGCACTAGTGAACGTGGGTCAGAGGTATAATAAAAATGAACAGTTGGTTACAGGATCATGCTCCTTTTCTGGCACTTCACGTCAGCAAACTTTGTGTTGAAAGACATTGGTTTTCTAGCCTTACTTAGATGAGCCAGTCCATAGAAGTAAGTGAGTTTTAAGCAAGTGAAAAAGTCAGGTTTTCCTACAAATTTTAAATATCATACTATTTAACATGCTATTTTTTCCAGTTAATATTTTTAATATGAGCCATATAACTGAATAGCAAAACGTAAACATAAATATCCAATAAAAAATGAAACTCTCTGAAAGTTGCACAGTACTTGTGATCTCATTAATATTCCAACAAATAGTGAGACTGAAAATTCAGACATTAAGCTTTTGGTTTTATGAAGAGAATCATGTGATCATTGTAGTATATAGCAATAAAATCCCTCTACACTGTTACCTTTGGAGGTGTGTTGTATTTCTTATTTCAGACAAAAGAGGTTAATCATGATGTCTACTTATGATAAAACAGCAATTTTCAAACACTAATAACATGTGCATTGTTTCATGTGTTTGTGTTGCTTTAAATATAATATAATGAAAATATAGAAAACAGTACCTTAAATAAATTAGTATTTTCAAGAGGTACACACTCCTCTGATAAAGGATTTTGTGGTATTGTGAATATTTCATCTGGAGTTCTAGTTATTCCTGCAAGCAGTTTCTGGTCTAAAACGCTGCTGCATTTTCTGGTACCCATAAACATGAAGTTGAGCTCATGACTGATGGAGAATACAGCTGATCCTCACAGCAGTGAAGCAGCTGAGCCTTCCGGGTTGTTTTAGCTAGTCAGGATATTCCGGGTCATTACTGAGGAAAGGGCTTAGTGACAGAGATAGTGTTGAGTTTGGTGAAGCCAAGGCGTGAGATTTGTTAACCTGTCTTTCATCAGCTGAGGACTCAACAACTTAACAATTTTGGTTTGGTTTTAATTTTCCTTAGGATTTTTGTCAAATGAAAACATAATTGCTGATAAAGATCTGTTACATTTTAATACTGAGTTACATTGTTACACAATAGAATAATGAGAAAGCAAGCAACTAATTTGAGGTTCCTTCTTCTGCCAATCTTATTTTGAACTTGGAGTTTCTTGGCATTTGAGAACAGATCTTGAACTTCAAGGCTGTATGTATTACAGTGGTTTTCAGACTGTCTAATGGAGTAATAGAATATGTTTTCTTCTGGTGGAGCTACTAAAATTTCAACACAGCTCTACCTTTATACTTTCACATAGAAATTGTAGTTGATTTAAAATTCATATGTAGCTTTATAGGAGCAAGAGAATAAGAAAGGGAAATGATGGAGAAAGATATTCTTAGGCAGAAAGAGTGGACAAGAAATAAGTGGGTAGAGTGGGACTGAATGACAGATAGGAAAAGAGGCTCAGACTGGGAGAAGGCAATCCAGAGGAGGAGAAGGTGGATGGAAGAAGTTCAGCAAATCTACAAATTACCAGGGTCTGTGACAATACGTGTGGAAGAGAGCAGATGAAGGATGCCTACCCTGGATCTTTTTTTGTGCTGTTCTCACTGTTTCTCAGACTTAACTTGCTCCCATCTCTATTAGATAAGAAAACAGTGTTCACCTTGAAAAGTCAGCCTCTCTTCACTACGTAAGGAGGATTAAGGTTTTTAGATTAAGACTGTTTCCCTATAACTATAAAGGGAAGTCAAGTCAACAGTAAACACTGAGTTGTAGTAAACTGATTTAATTTTTTGGATTAACTACTACATTATCAGCACCAGATATTTTTAGGGCTCTGTGACAGCTTTATATGCCATATATGTAGAATTATACACACTTGGTTCTAAGTAAAAAGTATTAAAGATCTCGGTTCTCTTTGGAAAAGGGTATGCTTAAATTAGCCACATATGAGGGTATGTATTTGCTAGTGCTATGGACAAAGGAAGGAGGGTTGGTTCCCTAAGTGTCCTGGAGGATCTGGGCTTCATCATTTGCAGTTTTCACTGTAATCCTTAATGGAACTTGACCATGTGCATAGGCCAGCCCAGAGAGGTGTTGTACACAGGCTGTGTAATTAAACACTGCTGCTGAGTTCACTAGTAGAAATTGTTTAGTATAAGCATATAATCTACCTGCTGTCTGCATCCATTGCTAATCTTTACAAGGAGAAGTAAAAATAGTTTCCTTTTCCTTACCACAGAAAGGCTTATCAGAAGTCTAACCTTCTCAAGCTATAAAGTGGACAGATCTTTTTTTGGCTTGGAGTGTGTGTGTGTGTGAGGAGAGCTAAAGTGGCATTTCTGAAAGTGGTCTAGCCCAGTAAAATTGATATAAGGCATGACATTTGAAAGGGAGGGCAAAGAGGGAGAATCAGAGAAAACACTGGCAATGTTAACAATTAACAATGGAATAAAAGTGTACAAATACTTTATAAAGCAGAGGTGTATAAGAGAAGTTTTAATTAAATTTTTCTGGCCATAAATATATTAAGATTAGTTCTTAGGAAGTTCAAATAAGTGGCCCTTACCGCTCATTTTCCTTCTACATTTCTTTCCCAAAGTGGCTTCCATTAGTAATGGACTGTCACATGAGAAAATATTTATAATATACCATTTTATAAGCCTAATCATGAATACTGTAGTTGCCACAGTCCAGTTACGGAGAAAACCTTTACATTCTCCAGTGACAGAATTTAAAGTTTCAATTACTGTTGACCCATTGCAGAGGAATGTGCTTTTAAACAAGAAATGCCCAAATATCACCTTGTCTATGGCAGCTCTGGAAGCCAGCCTGGAACTCAGATCACATAGATAATTAATTCACATATTGATTGGTATAAGCGGTTCTTGTTATAGTTCCCTTGAGTAACCAGGGATTTTAAATTAAAAGGTAAATATGGTGAAAAATGTAAAGGTCAAAAATATTTTATAAATTCTAATTGTGTTAATTCTTAGTAGAAGTTACACAATTTTTCTTATGCTTCCTTAAATACAGAGATATTTATGAACACTTTTATTTGACAGAGAGCTCCCAGGCATTTAATATAGATATACATTAAATTGCTGTATTAACTAGCTTTATTTTATAATTCCTAGAAAATGTTCCATGGCAGCTTTTGCAACTTAAACCCCACAGTTTTAAGACTATATGCAACCTCTACATATGGAGCATGGAGTGTTATTAACATTCTGGAGAAAATAATCCTCCACTCTCTATAAAATTCTGAAATGTTTTCAAAAATGTAAAGCTATTGTGATTAATTCGTTGATGTGTTTACCTTTATAATGGGGTAATTTAGGGATTTCAATAGAGTAAGGGGTAGTTACGCCAGGGTCTTCTTCCTCTCCTCTTATTAATTGCAGGGCTGCATTGGAACTATCTTGTTTGTCCCACATACTCGATATCAGTTTATTTACTTATATTCTTCACATTATGTGGGTGTGTGCATTGCATGACTTTGTAAGCAATATTTGTGTGTCAGAGTTAATTGAAAGAAATGCAATGTGAGTGGAAAAGATTGATCAAACTGCATCCCCATCTCTCATTGTGTCATCTGTTCAAGACCTACTTAGTAACTGTAGTGCCGGTGAAATAGTTATAGCTAGAGCAAATGGAAGATGTACTAAAGCTCTGAAATATGGTTGTATGCCTTGTGAGAGTATGTTGCTGCAGCATAGTCTCAGTGAAGTCATGTGGGGGGGGAAGAACAAGAGGGCTCTAAAAACAGTGAGCAGAATACTTGGATCCTCATGGATCTCCTGAGTTGTGCATGCATCTGCTGTACAGGGTGGTATCTCCTCTTTGGGCCATGCTTTCCTCTACTCCTGTACAAGACTATGATTTTACTCTTGGCCTTCTCTTAAGTGCTTTATATATGCTTTGCAAGCTATGATACAGTTCACTGGTGATGGGGGAACGCAGTACAGTACTATTGAATTTATTTAAGTTTTTATTCGTTGCTGTGTTAAAAATAAATTGTGGGTAATTATGAATATAGCCTTTTCAATGAAAAGGCTTTGTACAGAAACAATTATTTAGCACTGAATACCTTTTTTATATGTGTCATTTGCTGTGGCCACCTGCAATTTTTTTAAAAAATAAACCCACTTTTTTTTTACATGAGGAGAGGAAAATATTTTTTTCTCTGTTTCATTCCTGAAGGACATCGTGACAGTGACTTTAGCCATTAAATTTTTGGGGCTCCGCACTAATCATTCTTTTCTCTCCTCATCACAATAACCATTTCAGTGTCAGATAGCATATTTAATGCTTTCAATAAAGCTTATGCCTGATATTAGGTGTAGTTGTCAGATTACATCTTAGACGCATTTTAACAAGACAGCATTTACAGCTGTGTTGTCTGTCTTTGTCATAAACAATCTCTTCCTTTGTCCCCTTTTATTTAAAGATTTTCCAGATCATTTATAATTCATTGAAATTTTGATGATACAGTAGTTCACCTGCTGGCAGTGGTAGCACTGTAATTTGAAAGCACTGCAGATCTGATTACACTGTCAGTCATGGGATAATGTTCTCAAATTCACATCTCTCATATCACACCTGCAAAATCAGTGGGTGAAACAACTTGATTAAGGTCAAAAAAGATGACTGACTGAGGTGTGACACCCTACCAGAATCAGTTTTAGTGGTGCAGAATGGCAGGAGCTTCCAATGCTATATTTCAGTGTGAAGAGGAATTATTAACCAGTCTACCAGCAGCTAGTAGCATGATTGACAGGTGAGATATGGGTGTTAAAAGCTTCAATAATAAAGAATATAAAAGCCTTTGGTATTTTAGGACTTTACATTTGCTCTGCTTTATTACTCACATCTCTATGAATCACTGTTGCAAGAGATTTTGTTGAGTATAGGATTTAGTTTTCTATACCAATATAATTGAGCGAGTTTGGGTCAGATCAGTCTCTCATACAGGCACAGTACTAAATTAAATGAAACCACTGATGAAATTCCAGTGTGGTGCCAATCATCCCATGCCAGCTTTTGTTTGACTTTTGTTTTAGTTCTTAAAGGATATGTCTAAGGGAGTGGCTAACATTTTTTTCTCCAAAGTAAATTTATATGTATAATTTTGCAGTTGATTGACAGCAATGACATTTTTAAGACTGCTGTAATTTTGGTTATGTCAGCAAACAGCACACAAGTGAAATAGTTCATGGAATAAAAACATCCTGTGTAAAATGGAATGAATGTCAGACTGGCTTAAAATCATTGTTTTGAATAAATCATAAAATAACTAGTCTGTTTTCCATTCTGCATCTGCCGTGAGTTAAATGTATTCTGAGTAGATACTGGAAAGAAGCATTTTTTTTCTGTTAGGCGCATTCAATTTTATATTTTTACTGTCTTTGGTTTCTTTCAGCATGTGGAGAAACACTGCAGGAATCTACAGGCAACTTTTCTTCTCCAGGATTTCCAAATGGTTATCCTTCTTACACACACTGCATATGGAGAATCTCTGTGACCCCAGGGGAGAAGGTATTTGACATTTCATCAGCTAAACACAGATACTATTTTTAAACTAAAATGTTATGTTGCTTTAGCTATTCAAGTTTAGGTTGTATAATAATTGAAAATAATGCTGTGCCATAAAAAATGGGACCATGAACTATGTGCTATTGACTTGACTTTGGTCTGTGACATCAGAACCACATCATCTATTTGGTGGCTGTCCATGTGAAATGAAGACATGATTCCAATCTGCTACCTGTTTGCATCATGAAATCCCTTCAAAACTGGCTTTCAGTTCAGTTGGTGGTTCAGTGTAAAGGTGGAAGTAGTAGTTCAGGCTCCTAAATGGTTTTTCCTGCAGCACAGGCTCGGGCAAGCTGCCTGAGCTGTGTGGGGCTGATACCTGGGCTCTGCCTAAGGAAGCTCTTAGTATGTCAGATGACGTTTCTAAAGTGAAACAGTAATAGCGTGGAATAGAGAAAGTGTCATTTAGGTGTTCCCTGGTATCAGTTCTAGTGCATATAGTTTTACTTTCTGGGCATTAATTTTAGGGGGAAAGTGGGGAAAAATTTTGGCTTGGTGAGAGCAGTCTGGGGAGAGGAGTGTGCCATCCCCGTGAAAGCAAAACCTGTTCGTCTTGTGTACACTTTCAAAACATGCTAGCTGAATCTTGTTTTAATGTATTCTCAAATATTAGCCTGCCTCAAAAGAAATAAGGATAGAGACAGCAATGGGAGGCTTCACCTAAGACAAAATATGCAAGTAAAAAAAAGAATGGAAGTTTCTTTACAAGAAGCAGTGGCCAACATTAAGCAGTCAGCTACAGCCTAAAGACTGAAATATAGAACCTAGCACTAGCCTCAGTATTGGAGAGTCCAAAGAAGAAAACCTGACATTTGTGACCAGATATTTCAGTCAGTTTTGTCAGTGGTCTCCCACTCCTTATTTGACATAGTTTTATCCTGATTGGATGACGTTATTCTGTGTTTCTTTCAGGTCAGGGTCCTGGTAGACACCAAGAATATATGTTCTTGATGTGCTAATAGATCCTGAGGAGCTGTAAGAGCATTTGCCACTGAAGGGGATGAAAGCAAAGTCATTTGGAAAGTGCTTGCCCTCCTCTGGGCTAGAGCCAGAGACAGGAGGAAAAATAAACATGAGGATGTGGGTGGCTCTGCAGGTTGGCAGGGAAAAACAAATGAAAACAGATGAATAAGAGAAGGTTTGGACAGAAAATACAAATTAATCTAGATAGGTAATTTTATATGTCCAATATTTGTGTAGCTTCTTAGACACTGCTGTGATAACAACAAAAAATGGCTTAGGCTTCTTTTCCTCAGTTAAAAAAAACCCCAAATTTTAGCATTCATCTACAGTTATTATTGGGTTTTGAAAACAATATTAATATATGAGTTAGAAAATGGTCATGCTTAAGTATTCATAGCATACTCCAACCTTGTATAAGCCTATCTGTGGATGTTAGTGCAACTGTAATATATTTGTAATACCATTATGTCTTGAGATAGTAACCACCGCTGGACATGTATTATACTGTGCAAAAATTTAACTGGGGAAAGCCCCTGTCTTGAATTCAGCAGTGTAAGAACACCAGTTCCCTTCCCATGTTACCCCCTGCCCCAAATGGAGAAAAAGACTAAATGGAATATTCTAGTTTAAATTTGATGTGACAAGTCATGTCTGTTAAGGCACCGTTGTGACCTCCAGCTCTCGTAGTCTCCATATAATTTAGCAAGAATGAAGGAAATGTTATTTGTGCTAATGTCACAAAGTCTTTTTTGTCAGTGGTCTTCCCATAGGATGTTTTCTGTCTTGAGATAAAGCACCCAGTTTGCAGCAAGGACTTGATGTGAATAGCAGATAGCAGAAATTAGGTCTAAATCCTAATTAGTGCATATATCGTGGTACCTTGGACACACATTATGCTTGATCCCAAATTTTCTCAGTAAATGATGATAACATTCACATTATGAAGGTAAGATAAAAATATATTTAAATTTTTGTTCCTTTGTTTGCTGCTTTGACTCTGATAGATCTCAAGAATGTTGTGTGGGGGTTAGAGTATGTGTAAGTACATCACCTCATGTTTTGAAACGTCAGTGAGCACTTCAGTCACCTAAAAATAAACTGAAAAAGGACCAGTCCAGATTGTCTAGCTCTTGTCTCTTTTTTATTGAGATTTAACATTGTGCTCTGAGCATAGTTTAGAGGACTTCTATCCATGGTGCTTTCTGCAAGTACAGACACTTCTGATCTTTGATGGCAGGAAATTCAATGAAGGACAGGACTGCAGTGTGTACACTAGCCGTAGCATTCCTTTTATTGATAGGCATCATAAATTGCCAGCCCAACTTAAAATGTGTGCATCCCTATTACTAAAACAAAGCAGTTCATTCACTTTTTATTTTCTGTCAAGATTTAAGACTATATGGTAAACATCTATACACAGTATATCTATACACAGAAAAATCTCTGGAGTATGATGGTGTTAGTAATACTGTATTACTCTGCCTCTGCCAGGGCATATCCCGCTTTCTGGTGTGTAGAAATTTTGTTGGCATAGGGAGTTGCAACTGTGCCAGTGGTTTTTTTTTGAATCCACCTTTTTAAATAAGTTACATTACTTTCCAATTTTATTTAATGTTTTACATGAATGATAAAATAGGTCAGATAAATCCTTCATTGATATGGGAAGAAATACCACCTACAGAAAACTTAGTACTACTGATGTTTACTATATATTTTGTGCTTTCTTATCCCAGGCAGTAGAAGGTACGATTTATTCTCTCTGAAGCTGCAGCAGCACAACTGAATCTGCGGTGTAATCAATAATTTCTTAATTGTGCTGACAAATACGCATTGATTATTTTTCCTGTGAAGACTTTCAGCCATCCTGTTCCCTTGAAACAAGCTCTGCCTTGTCTGATAGCTCTGTTTAATACTTTGCAGAACTGCACATCAGAATCTTAAATATGTTTGTACTTGTTTGGTTCCTGACCAGAAATCATGCTGTGACAGATTGGGGGTTCTGCCTATGTACAGCTAATGAATTCTGGTCAATGTTAAGGAATTGCTGTATCATCAAATACCTTGGCACATCAGAGTGAGAAAAGACTGTGAAGGTTATTTCATATAGTTTGAAAGGTGGGGGCTGTTGAGGAGGCTCATTAAATTTTAATGATTTCATTTAGACAGCAGCACTTTGAGACATGATCACATCTAAGTAAAACCATCCTTTTCCCAGCTCTATCCTGGCAACTTCACTAGAACAGGTTGGCTACCCCCTCCCTGGACGTGTTTATGGCCAGGTTGGACGGGGCTTTGAGCAACCTGGTCTAGTGGAAGGTGTCCCTGCCCATGGCAGGGGGTTGGAACTAGATGATCTTTAAGGTCCCTTCCAACCCAAACCATTCTAGGATTCTAAGGTTTGGAAAAAGGCAAATTTCCAAAAAGAAAACAGAAAAATGATATTTCAGGTGTGTCATAGAAAATGAAGAATTTTGCCTAGATTGGTGACAGACCTCCAGGCTCTACACAGCTGAGCCAATGGAAGATGTATGGGACATGGCTTCCATAACTTGCTTCCAACAGAGTTAGCTGGGTTAGCTGAAGCAGCTGTGGAAGATAGCCTGACCTTAAATCAGCTGTCTGCATCTTATCTGAGCAGAGAATAAGGCTCCCCTTTGTGAACCCCTCTGCCAGCACAGCTGGGGTGAGGTGGCCATGGGTAGAAAAGGACAAGGACACTGCTGAGGGCAGTAGGGTTTTCAAGTAATACGGCTAGATACAAACTGCTGTGTGAATGACCTCTCTGCCATCCTCAGAGGTAGATTCAAATAGCACTTGGAAACATGTTAAAAGACTGAAGTGGAGGAAAGCATATGAATGATCGTACTTTTAGCCAGATCTGCATATTTGTCATGGAGAATAACATGGTAAGTAGGTGGTTTTGGAATTTGATAATATTTGTGCATTTCTTTCTTCAGTACATGTTCTTGAAGGAGTGCCTGAATAGTGAAGGCAAAATGCCCTGTGGGTTAGACATCTGGGAAAGAGTGCATTTAAGCTAGAAGTTTGAGAGGTGTAGCAGTAGGCAAAAGCAAAGAGATTAGTTGTGAGGTTCCCCTTCTGGGGAGGAATAGCATGGGAAGTCTGTGTGCAGGAAATAAGACAGGGAAGTCAAAACAGGAGGTGCTGCAGTTGGACAAAAGAAGCATGAAAGCATGAATGTGGATGAACATGACAGTAACCTAGTGAGTACCATCTGAGAGGATCAACTAATGCTTTGATGGTATTGAAGGATTTCTGTCCATTTTCTCAGTAACACTGAAAACGTTCTTCCTATTTTGCAAAATTAAAAAATAAGAGAAATCATTCTCCACCGAGACCCTGGTTAAAAACTGGCAAGGGAAAAATGAGAGCCATCTGAAGACAGATGTAGGTCAATAGTTAGATTAAACATAGAGGTTGTGAGGTAGAAACCAAGATTGTAGTGTTTGCTCTGCTGAGGGCGCATCCAAAGTGTGTGCTGTGCTTACCTGAATCACACAAGTTGTCCTTCTGATGTTGAAATTTGTTCTATTTAACCTGACCAGCCACATTTGAAATGGGAAAGGAGTCTTAAAATCTAGCTCACAGAACTTGCAGAGAGATAGGACATCTAGAATCAAATCTTGGATGTATCTGAGTTGGAAGTTCAAATCCTTGAAGTTCAACAGTGGACTGTCTGGATGATTTGCTTACTGGCTCTCACAAAAGCACCTCAAACCTCCCAAAGGACACAAGCAGCACTCCCTCCTTCCCCCCCCCCCCCCCCCCCCCCCCCCCCCCCCCCC